GAGGCTTCACTGTACGTTTCGCATCAAACTGCTTAGAAACAACGGAAATGGAAACAGGCAAATGCATGAGCATATATTCCTCAACCAAAGGTATGTGCTGAACACTAAAACGGCCGGCTAACGAACTCAACGTAGCTGAGTCAGCAGAAATCACTGTACCAGGTAAAAGAGTTGTGCGTTAAGGAAAAGCATTCTTATAACAAATCCGGAAAGAATGATCAGGATGAGAGTTAATCTCCTCATTAACCCTGAAGAAAGCATGCCGAAACCTTGTGAACGACGGAATGATAACTTGATGGCAAGAAAGACAGTGGCGAGCGATGTTTAACGGATAACATCAGAAAACGAAAGGAGAATCATGACCCTTGGCGAACGGAATAAATAGGATCTGCGTAATGCAAATCACTGTCAAAGCTTAAATATTCATGCTGTCATCTTCCACAGCGAAAAACGACATTTTTTACGGTCACTAATCCGTAACGTTTGACACGGTAACAGTAGATTACCAACTGAGCACTTGAGCCATATATCCGCTACTGACAGTGGATATCTCAATCGTTCGACAAAAATTATTTTGCGTGACTTCAATGTCAAATAATACAGAAAGCGAAATTGTAATATTGCTAATAAACTCAACAGGCTTTACTTCAAAACTAATTATAAACTCAACAGAGGTTGATTATGCCTTGAATAGAAGTCAATCATAAATTTTGTCATCTTATTTCATAATCTATGACAAATGGTTACAAATGTTCGAGTTACAAGAGACGCAGAGCTGTCAAATGATCACCAACTTGTTGCAGAAAATCATGTTGTAGAAAACCGAATGTGGTAGTACCACGAGAATTCATACTCCTGGCGACCGCAGATAATTACATAACTGAATTACTAAGACATCCATGAACCTGACTGCTAACGTAATTGTTCTGCTGGCGGCACCGATACTCTCACACCGTAGACGACGTGACCGTAGGCGTGTTCTCTGTCTCCTCTTGCACGAAGTCTGAGTTATTTTCATACTGGAGTTGAAAGAGGGGGTTTCGCTTTCTTCACTTTCCGAATGCTTCTTTTGAACTTTATGTTCACTTTCGTCAGTGATCATCCGCCTTAATGGAAGATGTTTGTTCCTTGAATCAGGGTGTTCCCCGCATCTTTTACGTAAAACTTGAAGCAGCGGCATGGCAATTTGTAAACCTAGTCTTATTCACAGAATAACGTTAGCATCTTAAGCTCATTAGAACTTCTACACTCTATGTGAATATCACACCAGCATTTAATAACTGCTGTTGCAAGTTAATCTCAAGTCCATCATGCTGCGACTTACGATGTCACTCAAGAACTTAATCGGATATTCCTCCGCGGCGTGAAGGACAAACAACCAGAAAAGAGGTGGCTGTGTCCAAACCCAATGAATAAAACTCCGATCTGATCAAGCCTTAAAGAACCGTCACCTAAAATCTCATTTGGCC